AGATTATTGGGGTAAGAGCAACTAATTACGATATTTTATTACGGTGAAGCGAAGATTGGAGAATTTGAAGTAGAAATGTTTTGACCTATTCTGACAGTACAAATGTACCTACTTCTTTCCCCCTCTTAGCACGGAAAGCACGTAGGAAGATCCTTGTCTGTAATTTTACCGCAGATTGGCGTAAAGAGTTAGCCGCGGTACGCTGTCATTTAAAAATTTACAAAAAAGCGGTAGATCTCCATCAAATTGCCATATTGCGACACATCCTGGACCGAAGAATATGCTCAACAGGCGTAAGATAATGCAAACGCCCACGTACGTTTTGTGGTTATCCTCAGCACGATCGACAATATGCACGCTAATCTTGCTCTCGATAAAGAGCACGGGTACCCTTCCTCTCTTAACAGCATGTATGCCACTCACTGTAGATAGAGCTTAACCCTTGTTAAGACTAATGCACACCGATATCACTATGATCGACATGTTTGGAGCATTGCGAGCGTTCAAAATGTTAACGCCCAGCATCTAACATTGTCGTTCACAATACTTCTTCCAATACCACGAAATGCGATGAAAATTTTTCCATCATCTGAGCGGCAAAGTACTCATCGTTTCGCATAATATTACTTAGCATCCTATGTTGCGAATAATATGCGCACTACTCTTCACAAATTTAGTCGTTCCGCGACACCGCGCCGTTGCTGAAGCTTGAAAACACAAAATTTTCATATTCTTATTCGGTCTCACATGCTTTCTCCTCAAAATTGATACCGATGACATTTCCTACCCTTGCTAAAGAAGCACTGCTCTTCACGTATAATTCGGTTTCGCCATATAGAGCGTTTCCGATGGTAGCAGCATCAATGCTTTTCACTTATTTTCATATTTTTGAAGTATGAAAATAAGAGTTGTTAGCTGTCATCGAACTTTTTTGCATATTGTGCATATTGTGCAATCCCGCAGACGTGCACGGCATATTCCGTATGGTAAGGTTTGACGCTACCGAGTGGAATCCATCGCATCAACTATGACACATGTTTTCACAACGTTATCGAGGATTATTGCATTCGGCGCATTTTCGTGTGTTCTTTACGACCACTGAAGCATGTATTAGTCACACCACGATTTTGCATCTACATGCGTGTATATTGCAACTCAGCGAATTAAGCCATTTTAAGTATGACTGTGTAATAAGCCGTGGTCTATGTAGTGAAGAGTGCGAGAGTTAGATTTATCGACATCCACAAGTCGACCTGTGACGTGTAGAATCTAATCAAGTTTTGCTCTCATGGACAAGACAAACTTCAATACTATAATCTACCGGTCTACGAGCATTAACATGCGTCTTTACCCATTTCGAACTTTTCGCAGAAAGCCTTGTTCCATGGCTTGAGCTACCTAAGTCCGTTTTGACTTCGGATTTGTCAAACATTTGCATGACTTTTTATATTTCTCTTGCTGGATGCACATGGGTAGAGAGCTCGCTGATGTGCGGTCGCCCATGCGAAGTTGGCTCTATAGTGTTCGATACGCTGAACCTTGTGGACAGCTAGCTGATTCAGGTCTAGTTCTCGATCGCCTTCGATATCCTGCTGAGATATCTCTTCGATGGCTTGTCGCCTGTCCTCCTCTTGTGCTTGGTGCGCTAGCCACTTATGCATCTTTACCTCCTTCTGCGCATGACCCTGGGCTCTTACTAATGACTGCTGCTTCTCTTACGCGTACGCGGTGTGATAAGCTTCTATCTTTTGTCGGAATTGAGCCATTTAATTGTTGAGACTGGCTTTACAAACGTATGTCTTCGTTCCACGTTGTTAGGCGTTCTCCAGCTTACTGACGCCATGAAATAATAGCTGTTTGTTGAAGAAGCTTTGGTAATTAAGTCGATTGGTGTGTAAATCATCGTATTGAAAAGGTCGCCTGGCGCATAAGCTATAATGATGCAGATGCTCTTCGAGCTGTTCAATCTCATTCATCCGGACATGCATCAACGTAGCAGGATGTAACGGGGCACTGTTGACTACGTACTGGTTGACCAGTACGGAGTATACTTCCACTGACGACAGTGGTCGACAGTGCCCTGCTAGGTGTTGAAGGAACACAGAGGAAGGAAAGGAGACTAAGTAGTCAGACTAGTCTCTGGTAAAAATAAAACTGTATTAATATAATTAAGTCCTATAAATCCTTGAATCTCTGTTGTCCTGACTTAATTATACTAATATAACTAAATGTATGATGACGTCTACTCACCACCCATTGCGCGCGTCTAGCGATTGGCGTGTTGATATCGTGATGATATCAACCAATGAGTAGACCCTTCGGTCATCTCAACAATATCGCCATGTCTGTGATATTGTTAAAAGAATATTCGACGTGATATTCTTTATTGTCAAATTGTTTTAACGACAGTTTCATGTAACGGGCTACCCCGTTACATAGGACGTTGGTAAGAGGTGACGCATCGCTACTTGCAGCATTGCGTCATGTCCTTGACGCTGCTAGTGCGCGAGACACTCTGTCACTGATGCGAAGTCGTTTGCCTTGTGTCTCATAACCTAAATGCAAGTGCGATGTATACCACCTGCGACGTCGCTAATGAATGGTAGGGCTGCCCGCAAAGCTAAATACGACAGGGAAGCAGTGTTGTACGCTGTAATTTTTTGGAACTGAAATGTATCAATCTTCCATTGCTTACTTCTTACGTCTTGCGCATCCATCAGTCGATCGCGACTGCTCAATTCTTTCGCAGATGTCTGATCTCCAGCATTCACTTGAGCATCATTGCCAGGTGGTGAACGCAGTGGAATTCACCGTAAAAGCCACGCACGGTCTTCCAGCCTACTTGGCCCCTCTTCTAAGTTCTACGAATGCGACGTCCCCACTCGAAAGCGAAAACAGACGCACGCAGTGTCGCTAGTGCCAAGCAGAGGTGGGGCTCAATTTTCGATCGAATTATATTCTGGCTCATCGCAGGTGATTAGTGTTTCCCCACGGCAAGAATTATTACAATCAATTTTTGTGGAAAGTCGAAGAAGGTTTGACAAAGATGAAGTTCTTCCTCGGGTGAATTGTCCTCCGATAAGGCTTAACTTTCGGTAGACTATCGAATTGGGCGTCCGACGAGCTCGTGATACAATGAATGTGTCACGCGAGGACAAGTCACAGCTAAAATAATAGAAGTAGGGCTGTTTCATCATAGTGCTCATATTGTTCGCTCATTATAGCATACATGGGTGAGTGTGGAATTCTGTCTTCATTTAAAATTGTTTTATCGAAAGGTAATTTCCTTATTTCATACGTCGACAGTATAGTGGCGTTGTATGCGTCTTGGATAGCAAGTGATAACGTTCGTAGCCTTCAGCAGCCCGTCTACTTTCCTGCGATACATCGGGAAGGGACACAGGCATCACGTGGGATGACTTTCACCGTTTCTGTCAGGTGAATCTGTTTTGACATCAGGCTATCGTTGTCAATGGGTCTTCTACTTTCTCGTACTAGACTGCCTTCTAGATGTCCATTCGAACCGGTCTTTGTTCAACACCGGCCGTTCTCCCTGTCTTCTATAATGTGATATGGGGCTTTGGAGAAGCTACGGGTGATATGCTCGCAGCTGATTATGCTGTTTCCTACCTCTAGCATGTCTCTCCACTAAGTTCAACTCATCTATTTCAGCACAGGCTTTATTGAGAGTAGATGGTCGCTGACTCACAAACGCAGACAGCTATCGATCTGGGCATGGCAGTAAGCTCTTCGAATTTGTCGATGTTACAGACCTTCTTACGCTCGTCACAACTGATCGCATGCTGCAGATTAAAACTGACGGTAACGCCCCGCAAGTGCCAGCATACTACGTCTGCAGCTATGCTTTTTGCTCCTATTGGAGGGGCTTGGCTGCTGATGTGGAAAGGCACGTCTGTTGAGGTGAAGAGGCACAACGGACGTTGGAAAGGCCCAACCTTTGAAATAGCAGGAGTGATTTAAGGAACCTAAGAGCAATTCGTGTAGCCTACGCAGGAGACATTCACCTGTAACGGGTACAGTGGCAACAAGGACACAAGATCATTGCATTTGGCCTTCGATTATCTATCCAACGCTCAAGGAAAGCAACAATTCCGATACAGGAAAGAGGCTTAACCTTGGCACAACACAAGTTCACGCCATCCGTGACATGTGAAGCAACGTTAGGTGTAACTTCTGAATACATTGCTAAACTACAGCTTCATCAAATATCCCTAGCACATGAAAAAAAGAAAGCAGCGTGTTTTTTTACGCCTTGATGTGCGTGTCAAAGCTACCCAGGAGCCTGCGGATAAATGTCATGTCAGCGTGTCAACATCAGACGCCTGAAGTTGAGTTCTTGACGTATGCGGGTGGTCATGGCTTGCTACGGGTGATGTTGTAGTTGCTTGGTCCGATCTGCTTCTTGATCAGTGACTTTGATGCGCCGTTTGTTTGTGTATGCCACAACAATGCGATTAGTTTTGACAGCCTCGCGCCCATCTATTCACACAACTTACAGACAAGCAAATGTGCGTGGAAAGGACACTGCCGATGAAAAGTGCCTGCACACGACCGCCAATCACGTTTGCTAAATCAACAAGCGCTGTGTTGAACGGCGCTTAATCGACACTTACTGTATAATAAAGTGTTCATCCCTACGGGCTGTATTCAAAAGTGCTCGCATCCAAACGCTCGGTACCAAAAAGACGGCCTTCGGCAGCCCCTTACTCTATCTCCACGGATCGCAAGCCGCCCCTATCTATCTATCTATCCATCCATCCATCCAATTATCCATCCACCCCGACCACTGCTCGCTCCCGTCGTGCCCTCATTCGATTCAGTGCCGTCCCATCCCCGCAATAGTGCCCCCCAAACGACTGGCCCTGCTGCGTCGCAGCGTCGTCAAAGCTGCGGCCGCCCCGCGCCGCCACAATTGGAATCGTCGCCGTTCCCTCCGCGTTCGCCCCCTGTTCCTCCACCGCCCCGAGCGCCTCTTTCCCATGGCGTCCGCAGCCGCCAACCGCCCCGTCGTGTCCGTGCTCTCGGTCGAGGGCGAGCGCCCGACAGTCACCGCGCAGATCGCGCTCCCCGCCGTGTTCACGGCGCCCATCCGCCCCGACGTCGTCACCTTTGTGCACACGAACATGGCCAAGAACCGCCGCCAGGCGTACGGCGTCTCGCGCGAAGCGGGGCACCAGCACTCGGCCGAGTCGTGGGGCACGGGGCGCGCCGTGTCGCGCATCCCGCGTATCCAGGGCGGCGGCAACCAGAGCTCGGGTCAGGCCGCGTTCGGCAACATGTGCCGCGGCGGCCGCATGTTTGCGCCCACGCGCATCTGGCGCAAGTGGCACCGCAAGATCAATGTGAACCAGCGGCGCTACGCCGTGGCGTCGGCCCTTGCGGCGTCGGCCGTGCCGGCGCTCGTGATGGCGCGTGGCCACCGCGTTGAAAAGGTGCCGGAGATTCCGCTCGTGCTGGACGACGCGGTCGAGTCGGTCGAGAAGACTGCGCAGGCGCTCAAGGTCTTGGCCAAGATTGGCGCCGACGTGGAGGTCGAGAAGGTCAAAGCCTCGAAGAAGATCACGACGGGGCGCGGCAAGTCGCGCAATCGCCGCTACACGATGCGGCGCGGTCCGTTGATTGTGTTTGCCACGGCCAACGGCGTGGAGAAGGCGTTCCGCAACATCCCGGGCGTCGAACTCGTGAACGTCGAGCGCCTGAACCTGCTCCAGCTCGCGCCGGGGGGCCACCTCGGCCGCTTTGTGATCTGGACCAAGTCGGCGTTCCAGAAGCTGGACGGCCTCTACGGCACGTACGCGAAGAAGTCGACGTCGAAGACTGGCTACCAGCTCCCGCGGCACCAGATGAACAATGCCAACTTGGGCCGTCTGATCAACTCGGACGAGATCCAGTCGGTCGTGCGCGCGGGTACGTACGCGAAGCACCGCCGCTTTCAGAAGAAGAACCCGCTGAAGAACTTGGGCGCGATGGTCAAGCTCAACCCGTACACGCTCGTGGCGCGTCGTGCGGAGCTACGTGCGGAGGCCCTTCGAGCGGAGAAGAAGGCGGCGGCGGCGGGTCAGAAGCGCAAGAACTCGTGCAAGACGGACCCGAAGCGCAAGGCGCAGTCGCGTGCTCTGTTTATCAAGAACTCGCTGGATTAGGTGCTGTCTGCGCCTGTGACTCGAGCTCAGCGGGGACGAGAGCTCACTTTGTTTAACGAAGCTGCGGTGGGTGTCGCTGGGCGTTTGATCGATCCGCGTGTAACGACTAGAGACGTAGCGGTTGAGATGAGCAAATGGTGCAGATAATACACGCACAGTCGTGAAAGAGGGAACTGATGGGTTGATGGGCGAGTGGAAGGGGTTCCTTATGCATTGTGAGCTCACGATCAGATGGGCGGGGCGGGGCTTGGAGTGATGGCATGTCGCGGTCTATTTCAAGCAGGTCGCACATGACCTGTTAGACGAGGCGGTCTAGCTTTGTCGGGACTATCATTGACCAGACGCATGGGACAACATGTCCACCATCGACTTGCTGACATGATGCGCGTTTGACCGAGTGGTCGAGTTCGCAAGCGCATCACCATGTTTACGACTTTAATGTGGCTTCGAGCTCGGGAGGAAGAGGCGACTTGGCCTTGTTCGAATCAGGTCTCCGTCTCACGGAAACGACGCGTGGTGCCGAATCGCGTCAAACATTTGTTGCAGCGAGTTGACTCGCTTGTAGGCCTTGTAGGCTTCGCGAAAGCCGTCGCCGTAGATCGCCGACAAATCGGTCTTGAGTTGCTGCATGTAAAACTTGCGCAGTCGACTCTCGTACGAGCGTGTCTTGGAGTCTTTGCGCTCGACCACGTGCTTGTACTTCAAGAACAGATAGCTCATCAATTGGCAAACCCCTTCTTCGATCTAATGCACGTCAAAGCTTTGCGTCAATGGACATCGTACGCTCGACATGGGACACACACGAGCCGTACCTTGGGTGGGATACTATCGGGAAAGTTGTCGCTGAGCTTGATGTAAGCGTGAGTAGCTTCGTGGGCCAGAATTGAGGCCGTCAGGTCATACGGAAGACCGTGTAGGATCAGGATTGCGTTCACTGAGCGAGTCTGGTCGTCGCAAAAGTACACACGCGTTAGCAGTCGACTATAATCCAACAAATGGGTAGAAGCCACAGCACATACGTCGCTCGCAAAGCGCACAACTACTGACCGTTTCGATGGAGGCTACTCTAGGAACCGCTTGCTTGCCAGTTCGAACCATGTGCTGAATTTTTGACACCTCCGAGAGGCACATGCCTCGAGTCACGGGGCATTTCACGGGCTTATTGCCAAGCGTCGGTACAGTGGCCTTCTCGTGAGCGTTACGGTGCTCATTCAAGACAGAGGACTCCACCAGGTAGACCGGGATCTACGTACAAAGTCATCATGTCGCATTGGCACAGTGCTATGCGTCGCGCCATACTGCGAAAAAACGGTGCATGGATGCGAACCTCAGGAAGGTTGATGCCGATGGCCCTCATGTACGCCCACACTTCCTTGACCACATCTTGCGCCTGTCGTACACACATGCGTCCTCGCCACATGTCATTTAGCATGCATAGCCACCTCATCATTGTGCTAGTATAGATCAGCAGTACCTCGCTCGTATCGAGCACAATGTACTTGCAACAATCATGGCAGACCTTGCGTCTGTCACTGAGCTGGTGGAACTGGCGGTCGGGAGCAATCGGCTGATACAGTCCTTCCGTCAGCTTCACGATGGCCGTTCGTTCGATAAATTAATTTGTACGAACCTCGACGCGTTGGCAGCTGCAGCAGCGATCACGATTATCGTGCTCGGCACAATAGTTTAGGTTCCAGAAAGGCATTATCTGCACGAACGCCGCACAATTAGCCAGTACAAAAGTGGCGTGAACGTAAACGTCGCCGACGCACCTTGAACGCAATTTTCTGCGTGCCTGGTTGGTACGGAATAAAGTCCGCACATACATCACACCTGTCGCGAAAGTCGTAGTGTCAACTAAATTACGGCACTTCCACCTCGTCGACGACACGGCCACGCACCTTGGATGAAAAAGCTGTTTGTAGCACTCATGGTCGTAATACTCGCCGTCCTTGACTTGGAACTTGTTTGTCAAGAACTTTTGATGGCATGCAGCGCAGCGGAAGCAATCCGGGTGGTATGCTTTGCCCTGGACGTTGGTGCGAGGTCCGTACCTACCATTGCGACAACACGAGTCATCAAAACATACCCTTCAACTGCGCGAACAAAATGTAAGAGCACAGGCAAAAACCACACTTGATCTCGCCCTTGCAGCCAGGACATTGTACCACGCGGATCGCATTGCAAGCTCCACAGGACGCCGCTGCGTCCTCGGTATTGAAAAACGTGCAAGTATCACAAGCCCACCCCGTGCCAAGCGCAGCAGCTCGATCGTCACTAACGTGGACGCTGGCACCAAAGCGTTTCTCAAGGGGCACTGGGTCCACGCGGTCGTTCCTCAGCGGTTTGGTCGTTGTAGTGATAGTTCTCGTCGTCACGCGGGGCGGCGGGGCACATTCCGCATGGTAGTGGCCGCCCTTTACCACTTGGAAGCGACTCGGGAGCGGCTTCTTGCAGCCCGCGCAGCAGAAACAGTCCGGATGATAGGTCAGGCCATTCACGTGTAGCCGTTTGCCGTACCTGACGTATGGAGTGGAAACAGAGAGCCAAAAGCGGTTACGCGAGAGAAGAGGAACTCACAAGAGACGACCACAGACACGCGCGAGAGAGAGAGAGAGAGAGAGAGCGACTGCACTACAACAGTCGTCACCCACTTGATCTCGCGCTTGCACGTGGGGCATTGGAGGACGCGGATAGCGCTACAGGCTCCGCAGCTGGCGGCCGAGTCGACCGCATTGAGGAACGTGCACTGGGGACAGCTCCAGCCCATGACTACAAGTGAGTGAGTGAGTGCAACTCGTCGCACGCGGTACTTGTGCTGTGCTGTACGAAATCGACTGATTTGCAATCTTTTCTGATCCCGTCTGTGTCCGTGTTGTTCATCGAAGGGGTACTCTAATTTAGACGACTTACTTGTTTAAAACGAAACGTAGCGGCGTTTTAATCCCAAAGACTACGAAACAAACACATACATCAAACACATGGTGCGTCGATCGCTGTCCAGCAGCTCCTGCGCGGACGTGTGGGGTCGTCGTGCCTTTGGTATCCATGCGACAGCAATGCACTGACGCCCCGTGTCGTGCTGCGTTTTGTGATGGATTATGTCGTCGTACAGAGCTCTTCCGACGCGTCGAAGAATAACAGCGCTTCGAGTGCTCCTGCCACTGGTCCAACTGACGCCCAGGACCTCACGGTTTTCGTACGTGTTTAAAACAGCTTTTCTTGTGGCGGTGGTATGCACTCGTGGCACGTCGTTGTTTTATTTGCTCATTGTGTTGTTGTTGTGGTGTTTGTTGGCTACTGTGTAGGTGCAAAGTTTGCTAGAGCAAATGGTGCGTCGTCATGCAGCAGCATTGTGTTTCCTTCTAGACTCGATCGAGCTTGCCTTGTTGTGAACATTTTGTTTGTCTTGACTGTGCTTTAATCATCATGCAGCAATCACGATTTGCGCAAATGTCGGACGTCATCATTGCGAGAAATATCCTTTCCACATTGACATTGTTTCGTATTATGCACGTTTCGGCATGCCATGAGACGAGGCTCAGAAGCTGTCATGGAGACTAGAATGAAGACCTTGTGTTGGGTTTCCTTGACCTTAAGCGTATTGTGTTTTCTTGCTATTGCGGATGTTTACTCGACGACATGGGTTCGCGTATTGATGAGCTGGAAAAGTCGATCGGAGGCTTGATGGAGCAGGTGAGAGGACAACCACAATTGCTCGGATCAACAAGTGTGAAAGCGGCTGTTCTCACTCGCTGTACGTGCAGGCAAACGAAGATGGCAACGACAAGGATCCGCGGGAATCCACGGCCCCTACGCCCAAGGAAGAATGAATGCGTGACGAGTGCAACGTCGTCACGTCGTCACGCCGACTCCAAGACAGCACACAGCACTCTTGATGTAGCTGAACAAAACACGTATCCAGATCGGCTTTGCATTGAAGATTCGTTGCAAACAATAACGTACTTGACGGTGTTTTCCTACATATGCCCCTCTAATTGTGGCACAACGACAAAAGTAGCGACATCATCAGAGGGCACTCGTCGTCGTCTAAAGTCATCCGGCCGATTAGCCTCCTTCACTCCGGACCGCGCAAATCTGCGCTTAGTCCTTCTTGTCCTTAAACTCGGCGTCGTGTACGTTCTCGTCCTTACTATCATCACTGCTGGCAGCGCTGTCGCCCTGCTGAGACTTGTAGACCGCCTCGCCAATCTTCATCGCCATTTCCTGCACCTCCTTGAGCGTAGCCTTGATTTCCTCCGTGTTCTCGCCCTCCGACTTTTGACGCAAATCCGCCAGAGCAACCTTGACTTTCTCTAGCGTGTCCGCATCGATCTTGTCCTTGTGCTCCTCCAGGGTCTTCTCCGTCGTGTACAACATCGAGTCCGCCTCGTTCTTCGCTTCAATCAACTCCTTGCGCTCCTGGTCAGCAGCAGCGTTGGCCTCGGCATCAGCAACCATCTTCTCAATCTCAGCTTCTGACAATCCGCCGCTAGACTGGATTACAATGTTCTGCTCCTTGCCCGTGGCTTTGTCGCGAGCGCCAACGTTCACAATTCCGTTTGCGTCAATGTCGAAGCTCACCTCGATCTGCGGCACACCGCGTGGCGCGGGAGGAATGCCTACCAGGTCAAAGTTGCCCAGCAGCTTGTTGTCAGCAGCCATTTCGCGCTCGCCCTGCAGTACCTTGATGCCCACTTGCGTCTGCGAGTCGGCAGCGGTGGAGAACACCTGCGACTTCTTCGTAGGGATCGTCGTGTTGCGCGGAATGAGCTTGGTAAACACGCCACCTAACGTCTCAATGCCAAGCGACAAAGGCGTCACATCCAGCAGCAAAATGTCCTTGACATCACCGCGCAGCACACCGCCTTGAATCGCAGCACCCATAGCCACCACTTCGTCCGGGTTCACTCCCTTCGACGGTTTCTTGCCAAAGAACGCCTCCACCGTCGTCTGCACCTTGGGCATACGCGACATACCGCCAACCAAGATAACTTCGTTGATGTCCTTCTTGTCCAGACCTGCGTCTTTGACACATTTCTTGCACGGACCCATGGTACGTTCAATCAGCTTGCCGACCAGTTTCTCAAACGTCGAGCGCGTGATCTTCATGTTCAAGTGCTTGGGGCCGCTCGCATCGGCCGTAATGAACGGCAAACTAATGTCAGTCTGCGCCAGCCCATCGAGCTCGCGCTTGGCCTTTTCAGCAGCCTCGCGCAGTCGCTGCATCGCCAGGTTGTCACCCGACAAGTCGATGCTCGTCTCTTTCTTAAACTCGCTCACGAGATACCGCAAGAGCTCTTCGTCAAAGTCCTCGCCACCCAGCAACGTGTCGCCATTGGTCGACTTGACTTCAAACACCCCGCCGGAAATCTCCAGGATCGAGACATCAAACGTCCCGCCTCCCAAGTCGTACACAGCAATGACCTTGCCGTCGGCCTTGTCCATGCCGTACGCCAGCGCAGCCGCTGTGGGTTCGTTAATGATCCGGAGCACGTCCAGCCCGGCAATCTTGCCAGCATCTTTCGTCGCTTGCCGCTGCGAGTCGTTGAAATAGGCCGGCACCGTGACGACGGCCTGCGTCACCGACTTGCCGAGAAACCCGTCGGCCGTCTCCTTCATCTTCGTGAGCACCATCGAGCCGATCTGCGAGGGCGAGTACTTCTTGCCCTTGGCCTCGACCCACGCGTCTTTGCCGTTCGTGCCCTTGACGATCTTGTACGACACGACCTTGGCCACTTCCTGCGTCTCCTTGTCGTCAAACTTGCGCCCAATGAGCCGCTTCACGGCGTAAAACGTGTTCTCCGAGTTCGTCACGGCCTGGCGCTTGGCGGGCATGCCGACCAGGCGCTCGTCATTGTCCAAAATGGCCACAACCGACGGCGTCGTGCGCGCGCCTTCCGAGTTCTCAATCACACGCGCTGTCTTGCCCTCCATCACGGACACGCACGAGTTGGTCGTGCCCAGGTCGATGCCAATCACCTCGGAGCCGGCAGCGGCCGAGAACAGGCGCTTGGTCGCGGCGGGCGCGGCGGGGCGAGCAGCAACGAGACGTAGCATCGTACAGAGAGTGTGTGTGGGTAAGTGGTACGGGCGCGACTCGACGAGACGGACAAACGGTCGTGAGACGTGTGGGAAAACGTGCGAATTCACAAGTGCCATCAGGTGCTGCCAGCCACTCACTCGCTGGGATGAGTGAAATGCCGCAGCGATAGCCACGTTAACGATCTAGAACAGTTAAGTGAGCGGGTTTTGCAGGCACGCTGGCCGACGGATGATGATAGGGCGACGCGAGGGACATGTAGTTTGAGAGGTCGAAACGGGCGGGTGGGCGAGCGCTTTGGCACACATAGCACGGCGTTTGCCGTTAGAAAGACCCATTTCTAACATCGAAAAACGGACCCATTCTCAGAAACCTTCCAGAACGTCAAGGACGGAATGATGGTCACTCTCCCTTCACAAGCGCAACGACACCAGTAGCACCAACTCGACAACATGGTGTCGCTTTTCGGCAACAAGAACGAGAACGGCCGGACGCTGCGACCGCGCGCGCGACGCGCCACACCGCTCATGGACGTAGGGCTCGCAGTTATTGCAGGAGCTGTGACAGGCGTCTACATCTTCCAAGACACGCTGCAGCGCTGGCGGATTACCGAAGACGAGGCAGCAAATGCGGGCAACACGGCTTCGACCGCCCACAAAGCGACAACGCAGGAGCCACCAAGCAAGTAGGAGAGTAGTACATGCTGCAATAGAGGAGAAGGGCTGCGTCTAGACGCTGCAAAAGCGTCAAGAAGAGACCGCCGATGGAGTCGCTTGAGAGGACGTTGTAAATGAATCTGCCGATACCGCGCGCGTGCGCAAGTCAGTGTGATGATCTTTTGCTCTGTTGACTCGACACCTTTGGAGTGATGGTCCCATCGACTTTGGATTCACTAAATAGTGTGTCGCACATCATGTTGGTGTTCTCGTACGTAACGCTTCGCCTCGCTCGAATCGCTTGCCACGCCAGGAACATGGGCGACGTTGCGCAGATCCTAGGGCTCGCGAGCGCTAGATCTGGCTCTAATGGGGCCGCCGTCGCGGACCTGGATCAGCTGAAGCCCTCGGGCGCGTCACCCGCCGCGCGCAACAAGTCGAGCAGCGGTGCGAGCAAGCAGAAGAAGCTCACGGGGATGCAGCGCGAGGTGCTCGAGCTGCTCGAGAGCAACCACCGCGCGAGCCACGCTCTGTACCAGGGCTTTGGCAAAACGAGTCTCAAGCAAAAGTGGCAGGAGCGCAAGACGTCGCCAGCGACCAAGTGGCTCCGCAAGTGCTTCCGCAATCCTGCGCGAGCGTCTCTTGCAGGCGAGACGACGGACGACGGACTCGTGCTTACTCATTGGGCAAAAGCTCACGTAGAGCCGTCGGGTGACTATGTGTTTGCGCGGTTTAATGTCAAAAGCGCGACCACGAGCTGCACGGACGACGAGTACGAAGCCGCATTGGCGCATCATGTGGATCCGATGATGAAGTGGACAAAGGAGGAGACGGATCTGCTGCTGACGTTGTGCCAGCGCTTTGATCTGCGGTGAGTAGAGCGCAGTATGTTTGTGAAGCGTTCTAGTGTTCGATATTGTCCCGTGGTTGTCATGCTGGTGGTCGTGGGACGTTGATTGACTAAGTTGCTGTTTGATGGCGCTGGTGCAAGCAGGTGGGTCGTAATATCGGACAAGTACAATTCCAGCACTGTCGCTCGATCAGCTGTGCGATCTGTCGAAGAAATTAAGTACCGATACTATGAAGTGACGCGATTGCTGGCTGAGTACAGGGATAAAAAGGCGAGCGGCGGGCTTGGACAGAAGACTCTCGTGTCTAGTTCACCCGCAGCTTGTTCAGTAACTGGAGCTGCTACTGCGTCTAGCTCGGATCTTATTGTACCGGGCGTGGTCACCCCCAGTGATGCTGCTTCTATAAAAATTGAGCCTCGACCGGTTGCGAGTACGCCGTCGACACCGGCGGCTGTTGTGTCAGCCTCTGCGTCATCGGAACACTACCGATTTAATATTGAGTATGAAAAGCAGCGCAAGCGACAGCTTGATCTCACATTTTCTCGCTCAATCGAAGAAGAGAACGAAATTCGTCGCTTGAACGATGAGCTACGTGGTGTGGAACAGCAACTGAAGAAGGTGGCTGCAAGAACGGACCCGAAGAAGAAGAAGGAGCTTGCCGACGTGCCTTACGAGATCAAGCGCACGCTGCCCACCGGCGTCATCTTGCGGAGCTCCTTGCTGGCACTCCCACAACAGAAGCATGCGCTCAGCGCGAAGCTTTTGAAAAAGCTACAGCTGTTACTAGATGAGTTGGGTGTACCAGCGCGCCCTATGCCTACAAAGCCGGTATGTGAAACATTTGACAAGCTGCGGCAGGACGCTGTTGGGCTCCTATCACTACGAAAGCATCTCAAAAGCAAAGAAAACGAGGTGCAGGCACTACGCGAGCGCTATCATGCCCTGACGGGTCAGGAGTATAGTCCGGTCACGACTCCCGTCACGGTATCCGGTAAGGCAATATCGCTGTTTCCTTGTCGTTTCACCGAATGCTGACTCGCTTGGCGTGCAACCAGATCGACCCGGTGATGCTGCATCAAGCGCTTGTGGTAACTCTGCAACCTCATCTGCCAACCATTCACAAAACGCAATGAGCAAGGGTGCGCTGTGTGTATCGCGTATCATTTGGTGGATGGCATTCTTACATGTTGATAAACGTTGTTGCGTTTCCAGGCAAGACGCCAAAGTATTCGGAAAAAGCAGTTCGTGCAGCCAAGCGTCGCAATTCGAGTGGCCACCCAGTTCTATCTGCCAAGCGCAACAAGAAAGCTCCTTACTGATTGCTCATCTTCAATGCTGCTCACACCTATCCTTGCTTGGCACACGTGCAGATGTCCGATAGTTGTGATGCATCGTTGCTGGAACGCATTCTGCAGGTTAACACAGTTTGTACGCACCCACGAATTTTCGTTTGTCCAATCAGTCGAAACCTACAGTACTAGTGATCATGTGTATGGAACAACTTTGCGCGGACGGTCGTCCGTGGGAGGAGACCTCTTTTCATGTTTTATCTTTTTCTTTTCCTCCGGTGTGGGGCCATCACTCTCCTCTCTCCTCTTTTCACATGCTATCGCAAGCACATGCTCACATGCCCTCCTCTCTCCTATGTCTTCGTTAGCAACCTCAACGAGACAGCGATTACTCCACCTTCTTCACCCACGTCAGCAGCCGCTTACTACCATCTAGTAAAACGGGTGGAATCCACGTCCTCTACCACCACGGAACCCCCCACGAGGCAACCCACGACCTCGCCCACGTCCCCGTCCTCGACCCCGACCACCCCGACCTCCACGGGACATGTTGAACCCACGCACATTCATTCGCTTGGGCGTGACCTTAAGCTGTCGGCCACGGAACATGGTATCGTTCAGCAGCAGCGCGCTCTCGACAGCGTCACGAGAGGCGAATTCAATGTACGCGTAACCCTTGGGCTGCCCCGTAAACTTGTCACAGAGGATCGTCACTCGATTGATGGTCCCGCACGATTGAAACAGTGCTTGGAGCTCTTCGGGAGTGCTCCCGTAGTCCACTTGGCCAATGTAAATGGACGTGTCTTCCACTTGAGCAGCCGACGGAGCGCTCCCTGACGCGTTGCTGCCGCCCGAATCATTGAGACCCGACGACATACTGTGGCCCATCTGCGACTCGACTTCCGACTGCATCTCGCTCAGCTTGGCCGCTTCTTCCTCCATCTCCCGCACGCGACGCTTCATGTCTTCGATCTCCGCGTCCACGGCTTCCACGGAATCTTCAGCAGCAGCTGCTTCTGCGGTCTCGCCATCGTGCTCGCCCCTTGTCGCCCTGTCCGCCAGACTTGCGGCTTCGGCCTCGAGCTTGCTCACGTCCACTGCTTCGTCCGCCATGGTAAAATCGAAACCCATAAAGATGGCTACGACTTTTTACTCGGCTTTAGTATGCGCGCTGGTAAGCTCTGCAGACACGATATATCGAGTTTCAAGGGGGTCGATATCGAGGATGCTCAAGAAGATGGTCTGGCAAGAAAAGAGATCGTACTTAGTGCTTGTGTCCACCACACAACTACGTGTGCAGTTATGTACCCGATTGCGTGTACACACAATCACACAAACCAACTCATCCACGTCCCACCTCGACTCGAGCGGCCGTGGCGCACATGGAGACAGCGCTGACCGCGTGGGCCGACGCTACAGCACCGGTTGACGTATCGAATGTGCAAAAGAATCGTCTGCTCTATACATCGGTGTGTGAAAATGTCGCTTTGGCGCGTACATACGGTCAGAATAGCGGAACAAAAGACGAAGACGATGAGCGATACCACTGCCGTCCTTGGGACCACGCGCATTTCCTCGCTCGCGTGAGGAGCTTCTGCACGTCTTGGTGGTTTGCTAAGCCACGTGAAATCATTTCTCTCGAGTGTGCGCGTCATGGATGGAGCAACTCGGGACCTGATGAGTTGCAGTGCAGTTGGTGAGACAAGAGGACGAGGAAGATGCTGTGACAAAGACGGAGAGGGAACTTTGCGAGAATATCTTCCAAATATGCTGACGTGTATGTTTCATTGCTCCTCTTCTTCTGTTCTATAGTTGCAAGCAGTTTTTGTGCTTTCGGCTGGACAGCAAATTGAGTGCAAAGGGCGTGCTGACAGTGGTACAGACGTTTGCTGGTCAGCTCGTCACGGGCCACACGGAACTCTGTCCTTGGCGAGGCAATCCATCTCCCGAATCATTCATGACGGTGAGGGATAATTGTAGTGGGTGTGTACGGGAAGTGAGCTATTAAGGTTTGACGCCACCTTTTTTGCGCCGTGTGTGTGAACGATGTAGCTTCCGATTGCGACGAAGCGACAAGTGTTTGAAGCATTTATGGACCGTATGCGGATCGAAACGACAAAAATGCAAAGCGACGCTACGTTTGAGAAGCGAATGGTTAGTGTCAGCATTGCTGATACGATAACCTCCCGGATATCGAGCGAAATGAGTGGGGATGAAGACATCGTAGTTGATTTGAATGGCTCGGTATGGGCGTCGAATCTTGTGGCGAAACTGGATCGGCAAGACAACGGACTAGTGGACACGAAAGCCTTCGTCAATGCTGCACTATTGATTGTGTGTGGATGGAAGTTTGACGAAAAGGACGGGGCAAAAGCAGACATGCTTGTATGCAGTTTTTGTGAGCGGCAATGGTCGGCTTTTGCGAAGACGACAAGCGGGGAAGATGTTGGGGATGGAGAGCCTCCGGCGAAGCGTTTCAGGACCGATGTTGATTGCAGTGTGGATCTACTATCACAGCACCGACACTTTTGTCCGTGGATTGTCGAGCGAAAGTCTACCGATGTCAATGACTTTTATGGGATCGATGCGCAATTTGTCAAGCTGCCAGGATGGAAGCAGTATGCTCAGGTAGGAGTTGACCTAGTAATCCTTCTATGGGTTTACAAGTGCGCGAGTATCGAACTAAGTTTTGTTTGGAACAGGCTTTGGTCTTTCTTGGCAAATCGGACGACAATGTTACCAAAGTTACTGACGCGAGTGATGCGAGTGAAAAAAGAGCGATCGATCCGGTGCAAGCTCTAGCGACAGTGCAAGCTCTTCTTGGCGTGTAAATGGAAATAGTGAGATGGTGATGAGCCATCTCAGTGGCGCCATAGATTCACGTGTGCGAAAGAACATGCGTAGCTGGCATTTCCGATCTGCGGTATCAGCTGGTTTGGTTACTGCTTTCTTGTCGTGTAGGATGTTTGTTGAAGAGAGAACAGCATACTCAGAGCTCCGTGCTTTTATGGCGGGATAGCATACAATGAATACCCGTTCCGATGCTGCAAATGGCAAGATCTAACTTTTGTGGGTATGTGACGTAGACTGCTCTGGAGTCAGATGAGACTCAGGGCTGCGTAACGAATGAAAATTATAGACCCAGCTGTGCGCGTCGTATGTACTCATTCTTTTTATAGCAGATCGTCAGACACTGGTCGGAATCAACATATTAGGAGGCAGGCAAAAATATGATAATAACACGGCGATTCCGTGGTGGGAAGACAGATGTGCTTGGGCTGTTTCTGTTGTGCTGGCATCGCGAGCGACCTTTATCAACGGGTTCAACCTTTCTATTCATTGATCAGGAAGGGGCGTGATACATGCATTGTAACGAGCTGATAGCTGAAAAAATGTGTGCGGCACGCATGCATCGACTCGCGACCTATCATGCACAAGGCAAAAAATAAACGACACTTAGCAAGATGTTGCGCACTGGGCAAAGGATGAGCGCGTTGAGCTCAAAAAGTAGATTGCGATGTTCGAGAGATGCATGGCAGAATACTTCTTCACAAGCTGAAACTGTCAGTCGTATCACCAAGCTTGAATTCTCGCCAGCAAATCTAACGCAGGACAGGACCCATCTGGCCCACCTTTTTCTTCGCTGCGTGGACGCAGCATCCCATCGATTTCGAAATGACACCGGAGCTCTATGTTAGGTAGACGTAAAACGCGTACAGACCAAACGATGGGGACAGAAAAACACATGCACTGCTGCTCATCCGTAGCTGTATGAGCTCAGCACTAAGATGCTCGAGGCAAGAATGTAGCGCGTACTTCATGCTGTAGACAGTAGTTGTGATTATTGACGTTACTGAGCTGTCAAGGCAAATTTGCTTTGAGAAGCAAGATAAGCGAAGTGATGGCAGCTTGCCTGCCGCACTATGGCGCAATATTTCGTAACCCAGATCAAACCTACCGGCAAAAATATGAGTGTAAACAACGGCACAGCTACTCGAAGGAGCATCTGGGTGAACCGGCACTTTATTTACCAAACTCCACGTTCGAAACACAACTAACTCGAGAGCACATTCGCAACAACAATGTAATACTATCAGCTGCTTCGGGACGTGATGTCACACCATTTTGCACCAGGAGACGAAAAGCCGACAAGTTGGAAGACGGCAAAGCGAGCTCTAGTTCGCCTTCACTGAAAAGAAAGCGTGTAAAGAGGAAAGCCGAATACATGTGCGATGCCGGAGCTTTTGCAACGATCGACGAAACTACAAATTTGCTGACGACAGCTGGAGAGCCGCCAGGACACAAGCATGTACTACTGACACCATCCCAGGGCGTGATATAGTTTGTTGAACGATCTTGAGTGCAAGCTAAGCATATCCAATCCACACTTAACAAGAGACTTTCGCGATCCGTAAGACCAACACTAAGGCGCGCATATGTACGAGGCAAGTGCCAACTACCATTGTGAATCAGTGTATCCTAGCAACCCGAGCTGCATCATTCTAGAGCTGCTGCCACGCGAGCAAAAATAATTGGAAGATCAGCCCAAGGAATCGGTATACTCTATCCCGATCATTTGGACGCATACGCCGTTGCTCTTATGGCTCGAGACGGTCGTAAATTGATGCCAAGAGTCGAAGTGTTTATGTGGATTCTGTGGGTCTAAACTTAGGCACCAACGACAGTGGGCCTGACAAAAAAAAGAAATACAGGCAGAGAGCAATCGAATCTCGTTCGGCATCGACGTTTTCGACAGGTGCTTTTCAATCCAAGCGCAAAGACAACGGGATCATCACAGACTGCATCAGTGGATTCATTCGACTGTCACATTGCGTCAAAGCCACTGCAATCTCTGAGGCATCACACGCTGCCGAAAGGGAACAAGCAGGCGCTAGCAAAAGCGCCGACATTGGACTGCTATTCTCAACAAGAGTAATCACGGTGCAGCTTCCGTCAATAGAGTAAGTACATCGTCTAGTAGAAAGAGAGTTTCGAAACGCTTGCATGTGACTACGACCAAATAATGCCTGGACCTTTGCTAATCGACCGCGGCTGCGTCGTCAGCCTTATATAAGACTCCACTTTGGTAAAAAGAGAACCATCTTATTTCGTGTGATGCACGTCATCTTATTGGCGCTGACAAATGAAGGTGAACGTGTACATTGTCGCAGCTGATGGCGGCGACACGCGTCGAATTTGCTGGTACACGGGTACGTCTGATGCCCAAGTGACGATGGCGATACGCATGCAACTGCTCCTGCCCCACGACACAGTATTCCTACTGCGTGACGTCGACGGGGACATTGTCCCGGTATCTTCGACGCTGCCCAACGGCTATCGCTACACTCTGGTGCTTTCAGAAGACTTGCGCGAGGAAGAGACTGCGCCAGTACCTGACGACATGGCCAAGAGCAGTAGTGACGATCGAACGGTCGCGGTGGTCAATGAAGACGAGCCGCTACCTGTGATCGCGCCAGAACGAGCGACGTCAGCTTCGAGTACTGGTCCTGTGCTGAAGAAGAGACGGCTGGACGCAGACGAAAGCGACGCGAGTTCCGTCACGCCCCTTCAACTCGAGGACCGATCGCTGTCTATGGTTGCACCAGCTGTGCGACGGGAATCTTCGGTGTCGCTGTCAATGGCTTCTATTATTGCACAATTCGTCGACACGTTTACACAACCCATTGCCAACGACGATAACGTGAGCTTTATTCCGAATACCGGACGCTTCGCCCTCTACGCACTCTACTGCGAGGTCGTGCGCGAGGCAAAGTTCCATCCCAAACGCGAGGACGTGTTTTACAAGATGACGTCCATGCATGGAAAAGTAGATCGTCAGCGCGTGATTCGCTACTATCGATGCGAAACAGAAGAGGGGAATCGAGCGAACGTCGTGCAGTACAAACCACAAGGCAAAGGCGTCTTGCTGCGACGGTATCGCAAGACGGGGAGTGCCGAGCAGCTGGAAGACGTGGTCACGTCAGCTCCGTTTATTGTGTGGCTACAATTGGACCCGAAGGAGGTGATAGCGCTGTACGGGCGCTTTTTAGACGGTTTCACACCGGTTGTCAAAGGGGATTACCGAGCGCAATCAAGTGGCGGCGAAGAAGTGCAAGATGAAGGGGTTTGACAGACGGAGGTGTAGAAAGCTTGACGCGTTCGACAGCAAAAGAGCTGTAAGTGTCACAACAAGCTGCGGCTGTACGAGCGTTTGTAGACTTTGTCGTTCTGCAAGCATCACCTCTGGCAACGCCCGTCCGCAGTAATTTGAGCTACAGCTCGCCATTCGGAGCAAAGAACAGAGCAGCATTGTACTCGCCAGAGGTCGGTCGACAATGTGCGTGTGTAACAATACATGCGGAAGCCGTGGATGCACACGCTATTGACGACCTCTAGAACTGCATCCTCGACAATCGCAACATCAACGCTATCATTGCTATATTGCGGCGCCCGAGCACGCCAAGGTCAATAGCATTCCTTTGCATAGTAGGGTCAACATGGTTTGATCTTGGTCGTACATGCCATAGCTTTCGTCTTCCGTCTTGAGAAGAGTGCTCGTGCAACGAACGATATGCGCAAGCGTGGCATTTCTGAACGATTTGAATGATGTTTGCTTTGCAAGACCACATTGACCACAAGGCCGCAGCTTGGTCGACACCAACAGGAGATTTTGTATTCCAGATGATCAGATGCCTGCAATGCGAAAGAGACTCGAAAATCTAAACAAGTGGCTGCGCGGGGATACGACAGCGACGGGGAATACAAAGCCATGGGGCAAGCTACTGGTCCGCAGTGGCGCGCAGGGGCTGGCCAAGTCCGATAACGAGCGCCATCTGGCGTTCCGGCCGCTTCCCTCTCGTTGCGCCACACGTTCCTCGCACGTTCCGTCCAGTCCTGCGACAAGTCCACCTCTCTGTCCCGTCTACTGCGCCGCCAGACCTGCCAACTTGCAGCAGCGACAAAGTGTCCTCCTGTAGCCATTAGTGACCGAGTAACCGAACCAACGAATGGACACAGAACAACACAAATCACGCGATCGTCGTCGCCCCAAGTGGCTGCATCGCTTCCACCTCACGACAGTGAGTCCTTAATACTGCTCTTGTTTTGCCGACCGCTTCCGACTGCGAACCCCTGGAGCGAGCGCCGCATCATCTCGCGACTCGTGACGCTCCCCCCACACGCCAATGCCGTGCAGTTTCGCAGCAAGTTGCTCGACGCTTGGGGCACGTGGTGTGTCGTCGTGGAGTTTTGTCCTGGTGGGGACCTCTGGCACCTGCTCGAGCGGTCGCCGTAGCACCAGTTGCGGGAGGCCGTGGTTCAGCTGCTCTGTCTCCAGTGCGTACGGGGCGCCCAGAACTTGCATCCCTACGGCATTACCCATCGTGACTTGTCGCTCGAAAACGTCTTTTACTGCCGTGGGACGTGCAACATTGGCGACTTTGGCCTCGGCACGGACGCTCGGCTATGAGAGAGCAGGGAAGTCGTGGGCAACGCCTATTCCATGAGCGCCTGAGGTTGCCAACCAACGAGCGTACGACGCCTTTGCAGCCGACATGTGGTCGCTCGGGAATATGCTCTTTATTCTGCTTACGGGCTCACCGCTCACGTCGAAGACAACATAGCGTTTGTACCCTTTTGGGACCTCGGCGTAGCTAAATTGATTGACATGTGGGGGCTCGTTGACCACATATCGACGAAGACAGTCGCGCTGTTTGACAAGCTGCTTCAATTCGATTTAATCGAGAGTCCGACGGCTGATGAGCTCGAGGAGCTGATTGAGTCTGCGGGAACGGATTGAGGTCAAGTCTGACGTGGGGTAAATTGGACGTGGGCGACTCGCGTGCGCGTGTACAGTGGGCGATCAAGTGGAATCTGTCTTGTCCTTCGTGCTTGAAAGACTCAGGCTACAGTTAATTGTAACGGTCCAAGTCGACGCTGTAGCGGCCTGTAACTCTCTGGTCAACCCGAGCTCTCTCTAGTGTGGCGCTACAGAAGGCCAGCAACGCATCAGTCATGCGAATGACAATGACAGAAGGAGTGGAAAGGAAACGAACGAGATGGTCCGATGCAACTGTAACAGTGCGTGTCCTGCAAACTCGACTCCACCTACCGCTAGGAGTAGGGCAGACCCGACCGACCAGGTGTGCGTAGTTGTGTAAGACAATTGGACTATGACGAGCTTTATACTTCCAGTGTCGCTACGTTCCTGTCGCTTGGCCCGATCCCGTGTTTACGAACGCATTTTGAAGAGGTACGTCGCACTCGTCACGTCGTAGGAAATAACGTAATGACCTGCAAACGGTACAATTTGGAAGCCGACTGACTGCGCGTCGAACGTCACTGTGCGCTTCTGTGTAGCAGCAGTGGGTCGGCCTGCGTGAGACAGTGCAGCCACCACTGCCAATGACGCGTCTTGGTCTGCGCGCTCGAACAACTCGCCATGATGTGCTGGCTGAACTATGTCGCTATATAATGTTGCCGAACGGGCTCAATGCCACAAGCATGACATAAGCGAGACACAAGCGAGGCATAAGCGAGACATAAGCGAGCCATAAGCGAGGCACAAGCGAGGCATAAGCGAGGCATAAGCGAGGCATAAGCGAGACATACGCGAGACATAAGCGAGACATATGACTCTCCCTATCGAAGTACAGCATACCAATGACGATTTCTATTCTCTACGCGCTACCGCTATCAGAGGATTCGATGACGAGCAGAGATCGCCTCGTACTGTTTGCCGGATCCAACTTCCCGGATACGGAAAATCCTAAAATCGAAATTGCACCTTTCGCGATTGCGAACGATCACAAAAGTCGAGTTTAGCTGTTTCTATCTTTCGCTGCCTGCGTTCGCGAACATTTGCAGCATACAGTCGAACAAAACCGACGCTGAGCGGGTTCTACGTGACAAGCGCCGCCAGTTTCTCTCCTCCTCTTCATGTCGCGTGGCAGGATCGAAAAAGCCCTCTTATGCGCCAACCTTCGCCATGTATTCCGAGAAGATAACAAGTGCTTTTGAGGTCACGAGCAACTCAACGCTGGTAGTCGATATCAAGGCAGCTTGCTGCACCATCAATTGTTCCTCCGGCAACTTTATCGCGCTCCCGCAACGACGCGAATGACGACCAGATCCTTAATCCATCCGTTGCCAGGATGCAACGGATGAGGCGCATATCGCCGCTGCTACGCTGCGCCAGCGTGCGTTCGTCGCTCTTCAGTACCTCGTGCGTATCTCCTCTGTTCCGTGCATGTCTGTCCAGTGCTTTTCTCCCCCATCGTCGCAACAGTCGCCGTCCCTTTTCGCTCTCGTCGCTTCCTTCCACAAATCGTCCTTCCGCTTCGACAGCGCCTGGAGCGACACCGTCGACAGTGCAAGGGACGAACCTATTGCGTCGCGTGTCTAGAGCTCGAGAGTCGCATGCTCTCGAGTGGTCGGAAGGTCCTGGCGCTGCAGAGGAGGCGGACCCTTTTAGTCTCACGGACCCGCACGACGACCTCACGACGGCCAAGCTCACGAAACTCTTTTCTCGCTTTGAACCAAACGGTAGTGGATAGTCAAAGAGAACACAGCGATCTGTTACATAATGTTTTCGAGACTCATTTATCGGGCGTAGAAGTCATGCTAACTCGACTTTGCTGAGGCGTTTGTTTAGAGCACGGAAGAGTGTCGTACCACGGATTCCGACGAGGTCTAGAAGTCATGGGCATCCCGTGCGATCCGAGCGACGAGTTTGAGGCTTTTGTTGCGCAAATAGATGAAGACAAGAGTGGTGGAATCACGTACGACGAGTTCTTGTGCGCTGTTCAGGAAATCAAGTTGACACAGCTGTTTAGCCCAGAGTATGTCAAGGCTTTAATGGAAGAGTACGCTCGCGTGCACGGCCATGCAGCTCCTGTGGCTAAATTGGGCTCGATCGAGTACTCGCCCGATCGAATACGAAGCGCATACCCGATTGAAGACCTGGAAAAGTTCATGTACTCAAAACAGCCAAACTGGGCGAATGTGCGCTGGATTAATGTGGAGGGATCGGACCCGTTAATGATGCGGAGATTGGCTGTGCGTTATCGGCTTCACCCACTTGCGGTAGAGGACACACTAGATGCTGACCTTGAACGACCCAAGTACGAGCAATATGACGAGCATTCATTGTTGGTCCTCCAGACGGTGCACGCACGCGACTTAAACAAGGCGTCAGAGTATCAGCGGATGTATCGCGCGTCGTTGTATGTCCGCGATAACGACGTGTCGCCGTTTGATAGCATGGGCAAAGCTGAACTAGAAAGGAGGCTTGACGAATTAGCTATGGGGCGCATCATGACTCCGCCTGAACAATTGAGTGTGTACGTCATGGACAGTGTCGTCATTAGCGTGCAAAAATCATCGAGTTTATTGTGGTCAACGCTGAAACGTCGGTTGGACATGTCGTACTCCAAGGTTCGGCAGAGTGGTACCGCATTTCTAGTCAACTCGATCGTGGACGTGTGTGTCGACGAATTGTCTCCCATTGCGCACACGTATGGGGCCAAGGTGGCAATGCTGTCTCGTCTTTTACGTCACGACCCGCGCAATTTTAACGCCGATCGTCTAGCGAAGTGCTCAAAAGAAATTAAGGGGCTAAAGTTATTGTGCAAGCCACTACGCGAAATGACGACACAACTCATGAAGTCGACCGATTTCGAGGGCGAGACGCTGCGGTATTTCCGAGACGTACAGGACCATGTTATGGTCATTGACGAGACCTGCGATCACCTTCTAGATCGGTGCCGCAGTTTAGTCGACGACTGCCACAACGCGCGGCATGCCCAGCAAAGTGAAGTTAGCTACACGTTGACTCTCGTGGCTACTGTTTTCCTACCGGCTCAATTTCTGACTGGACTTTACGGCATGAACTTCGTCAACATGCCCGAACTGCATTGCGAGTACGGGTATGTGATCTGGTGGGGCGTTGTGTCGACCGTAGCTACTGGAACGATCACGTACTTTAAGTTTTACAAAAAATGGTTGTAATTGCCCTTGGGCACCCGATCGCCGACGACATGTACCAAATGCTGCGTTTGACGAGCTCTGTGACGGGTCGTGGGCAGCTTGTGAAAGCAGCATACGTCTATTGAATCACTGGCGGCATCTAGCGAATGTGATCGTCGTGTTCGAGTAGGAGATAAGTGGAATGAATCGGAAGCGCGATTGTCAAAATATCGCGCTGTCACTTGGTTAAACAATCATGAAGCAGTACACGGAGCCGGGGGTCAATATGTTACTTCAAGCACTGCAACGTCACCGCGAGAATTCGTCTTTTCCGAAACGTCGGGTCATATTTGATTGAGTCTTGTGGCGTCGATGACAAGCTATATATGTACACCAACAACGTGTTCCGGTACTATGTTCACAGCTAGATTTTGCTTCCATAAGCGCAACTCAGCTGCAGTTCGCATTGATGTGCCCAATGGCGTTCGCATCAGCAATCCTAAAGCGCATGCGTATTGCTGATACGTAATTGCACCAACTTGCTACGCACTGCTTCGATTTAAGAAAATATATTTTCTTATCTCGCCACAATGTATTAAATAAACTATTCGATAAGTTCTGAAGAGCAAAGAAACATAATTGTTGAGTCTACGTAGGTGATAAAACATGCACCTGAAAGACCCCGTAATTTATAAATTCACTCTAACATAAGAAAAAGGCGTCGCAAGATGGGCAAAGGAAAGTAAGTGTACCAAGAACGAATAAGAATGATGCATCGCAATGTATACGAGACAAACGAATATACACACGTATAACATCACTCATATATGCCATTCTATATCGTTCCTATTCCCTATATTAGCTAAACAATCAGGAATCTTCTCAAATTCATTAATCGAGTCATTTTGCGAGATACCAAACAGTAAATTGACTCATTAAACGTAGCCCGACACTGTCGTCAAGCTTTCGTTGGTGATTTGAGGTTCTTTTTATCATTCCCATCTAAACTTTACTAACTCAACATTGTATATATATGTGGCACCCATCTTGGCGGTGTCGCTGTATTTGATGGCACGAGACAGCGCAGCGGCAAAAATTTAACTTGCCAACATTGCAGAAGATGTTCAAAGAAGGATATGAGGTAGATTAAAAAAACTACGAATGAACAAAGTCAACAAAAGCATAAATTATACTAGAGAGCTGGCACGAACCATTCGGTGCTGGCAGGCAGTCACTCACATGCTCGTGGGCCGCAAAGCAGAATGCACGGTGATAGAGCGAGCAACAGTGGTGAATCGACACTGTAATGGGGTAAATTCGTTACATGAAATTGACACCAAATTGTTAGTCAATGGACATATGAACTGAGCCAATGATATATTAAAATATGTACCTTGATGAGGGGATATATAAGAATAATTCCGACAAACACTATATTAGGTATGGATCTCATAGTTCATATTCGACACTGCTCCATTCATTAGTTGATAGGTCAGCATATCAACCACCAAATCACGAATCGATGCTAGACGCGCGCAATTGGCGGTGGTAAGATAAGTTCGTGGGGGAGTTGTAGTATCATATAGTCAATAAAGATTAAAGAGATTATATTAGGATACTTATACTATCGATAAATTACAATTCTACCTTTTCCTTTTGCTACACGTGTTTATTTAGTAGACTCAACATTAATTTGCACTTAATGTGTTAGTCCAAGCAAATAGTCCCCCATTACAACAGGTGATACTCTATGGTCCGTTCAACAACCACAAACGTTCCGTTATTTTATATAAATAAATTTATTGGATAATGAAGAGAATGCTGTTCCGATTAAATTATATATGTCATCATGTTCAAGTTATATGATAATATGAATATCGTTTACACGAAGCGGGAAAGCTTCTCCCGTTTGATTGACGACGATACAATAGTCTGCCGTCCAAAGGACAAGCATGACCGTATACGGACGTGGTATCAGCATCATGTTGACGGATTTGAAACGAGACGAGCAACAGGTCGCTATTGTCAATTTCACCGGGTATGTATTTGTCGTGGAACGGGCGATAGTAATCGTGCTCCACCATCAATATTCTCAGAAGACAGAGCAGTTGATAAAATGGTGTGTGTAACAGTTCGAGCTGTTGAGACGGCGGTAAACTTAGACTGCTTCAGCCAGGTCGACGCAGTCCGTCGACCCGAAAGCTTGCAGCTTGAGATGTCCAAGTACAAGAAGCCTAGGAGGCATCCATGTATAAAATATCTTGTCGAGTTGGATGACGCTATCTGGACTTGTTGCATCGTCGACATCGAGTAAATGACTAGTATGACGCTATAAGAGTTCGTCACATCACCAACAAAAAGTAAATATTTCGGACGAGTCTTGAGGTCTCGTCGCATCATCTGCATAAAAATCTAAGCCGCATTCGTCCAGGAAACTCGACTAGACTTGCTAAGACTTAGACCGTTATGCTGAACCTTCACGACCCACGTACAATTCAGTTGTTAGTAGTTGTCAAAACCAACTTAGGCAAACGTGTGGGCTGCCACGATCTGGGCTGAGAGCTCGATCCGAGCTTCTGAAATTTAGTCGCGGTAAGCGTGACGTGCACATTTACGTCCAGCATATTCTCCATCTTGCAAGTAGTAACACGGCCCACCATGTATATGATCACAAATGATTATCACTGCGTGTAATAAAGAGAAGAGGTTTGGGGTATATTCGGGTACGCGTACGACCCACCACGGCCGGCTTTGTTGGTGACTCTCCGGGGATGTGTAATCTTACCGCCCCTACGCGGGTATCGGTCCACGTAACTCCCAGGCCTGGTGCCAGTGATTATCCGCTCGGCTACCGGGGTCGGTTCATCACTGTGTTGAAGAAGGGTGTGCGGATGGCCTCATTATGACTCATTTGTTCCGTCCTGGAACTGGATACGCTTGAACGAGCGATATCCATGGCGGAACATGAAAAATTCAGCCTCAGAAAGTCTCGAATCAAATTGGATTCGTAACCTCATCCAAGACGAAATGAGAGCAGAGGTCTAGAATCGATGAAGCTCGCCTACGTGGAGAGAAAAGATCCGCTATTCGGGATACACAAGATTGTAGAAAGTCAGTCGATGCCAAAGACAAGGCATTCCGATTATAGATGTGGCTCTCCGAAATCTGTAGCAAAAGTAGGGAATGATCACCTGATGCTTTGTCTTCAGATGCTTTCTAAGCAGCTGCACAAATCCGTTCAGACACGTTTTGTCAGATTTGGATGAATGCCACCTAAACTTGTTGACCATGCGATGACAATTGAAAATAAATTGATTCGACCAACAAGTGGCACCTTTTGCATAGTGATTCAACGGTGGTCGCGTTGTCATCAATCATTTTTCAATCATTTTTCAATCAGTCGCTGAAGTGACTGAATGTACAGTGAGGTGAAGAACGGGGAGTCTGTAAAGGGGCACTGGTCACTTTGTACTCCATGCTACGGACAGTGCGGAGTCAACTCCCACTGACAACAGTAAAATTGAGTGCCATGATAGGTATAGACACTATACAGAGGAAGGGTGGACAACTAAGGCAAGACTATGGTTGTTAAACAGTAAAACTTTTATTAAATACAATTAAGTCCTATAACTCTTGTTCTCTGTTTTGACCTGACTTGATTATATTAATATAACTATAACGTATGAAAATGTCTACTCACCACCCTCTGCGCGCATCTAGCAGCGATTGGTGGTTTGATATAACCATAGTATCAACCAATGAGTAGACCTTTGGGTCATCTCAACAATATCGCTGTAATTTTTGATATTGTTAAAAGAGTATCCAGCATTATATTTTTTATTACTAGCTTGCACAATGGTAAATTTCATGTAACCGGCTACTCGTTACAAAGCCAAAGATTAGTGATGTAACGGGGTTAGTCGACTACAAATCATTGACGCCATTTTGGGTCAATGTAAATATTGTCTGAACTGTCAACATTTTAAAACATTTACTCTGCTACGTGGATTCGAAAGAAATTGAACCGTCGAAGGTAATGCTCGGCGCAAGTTTATTAACCGCTGCTAGACGCGCGCAATGTATGGCAATCGAGTAGATACATTTAGAGTGGGTGATGTAACGGGGTAGCCCGTTACTTGAAATTGTCATTAAAACAATTTGACAATAAATAATATTACGTCGAATATTCTTTTAACAATATCACAGACATGGTGATATTGCTGAGATGACCGAAGGGTCTACTCATTGGTTTATATCGTGATGTATCAACCCACCAATCGCTGCTAGACGCGCGCAATGGGTGGTGAGTAGACGTCATCATACATTTAGTTATATTGGTATAACTAAGTCAGGACAACAGAAGATTCAAGGAGTTATAGGACTTAATTATATTAATACAGTTTTAATTTTACCAGAGACTAGTCTGACTACTTAGTCTCCTTTCCTTCCTCTGTGTTTCTTTAACACCTAGCAGGGCACTGTCGACCACTGTCGTCAGTGAAATTATACTCCGTACTGGTCAACCAGTACGTAGTCAACAGTGCCCGGTTACACCTGGTAGCACTTTGTAGCACTTTGTAGTCCGTCCAAGGACCACAACCCCATTGCCCAACATGAACATGTTGGGCTATGTAGACGGCGACAGCTTTCACGGAGCCCGTGAGAGTTACTCCTATTGGAGTGACATCGAATGGAGTGCGATAAAACGTATGAGTTTGACCGTTGGCGAGAAAGCCATATGGGCCATGCTATCCTCAAGGGATAGGAAACAGCAACATGTCGTCATTAGTAAGTTCTTGCAACGAGAACTTGATGAGTCGCGAGCGCAGGTGACCTTGTTACAACAACAAGATCACCAGCGAGCCGAAGCACTGAGACAACAACAGTCTCAGTCCGCAGAGCCCACGCGTGAGCGTCGACGGGAGTCTCTAAAATAGAGGTCTCCAAGTATCGGGGAGTCGAGAAAGACTCCCTGTTGAGGTGGTTCGTCGAGCTGAACGATGCCATCGAAGCTCGTCGCATAGACGATGAGCGAATGCAAG